TGGTGAGTACATACACTCTCAAGAAAATTAAAAATAAAAAATTTTTTTTTTGAGGGAGGGCAGCAAGATGGTGTGAGGATTAAGGCAATGGACTCCCACATGGCTGACCATGGCTCAAGACCTGGATCTGGCAATTTGCTTTCTCACTTTCATTCTCTCTCTCTTCGTCTCTCTCCGGTGAACACATGTGCTCTACAGCAAATTAAAAATAAAAATGATAAAATGAAATAAATATTAAAAATTGCACCATGTGGGACCAGCTATCTTAACCACTAGGCCATGGAACCAGACCTAAAGTCTATTTTTATTTCTCAGATTTAAAAAATATAAGAAAAAGAGAAAAAAAAAGATGACATCAAACCAAGTTTACAAAGAAGCTCCTTACTTTTTTACTTTTGGAGAGGTTTATGCTATAGGGCGTGTACACTTGCCAGAAAGACAGAGAGAGACAGAGAGACAGAAAGCAAGAAATCACACCCTGGGGGTATACTGCCACACTGCAATCCCTCCTCCTCCGTTCTCCTCTAGGGATCTTGGGCACGCACACACACATGTCTGGAGTGAGTTTAAACCACAAGGTCCAGAACTTGATCTGTGGTCAACTACATGGGAGTCCAACAACATAGCCATCTGCTGGTCCCCAAAGAAGCTCCTTATTATCAACATATTTTGATGAATATATTCCAGAATGCCTATCTGGATTAGAAGTACTATATGCAACCAGGGTACCATCAGAAAATTTTCTCTGCTCTATTTATATTTAATGTTTTAAATAGAATCCTTACTTGCATATATCTGTAGAATCCTGAGTTCCTAAGGCATATAATGAAGAACCAATTCTATTGTAATCATCTGCAGCACCTATGGAGAAAGTTTTCAGAATTTAATATGTTTACTTGTAGATTCAGAAAAACTTATGAGCACCGACCAGCAAACAATGTGTAGTACAAGATTACCTCAAGTCTAGTAAAAGAAATGACACAAATACCCATAATAGGGCCAGCCTGTATCCTAGTGGTTAAGGGAGCCAGATACCACATGGCCAAAAGTGGTTCAAATTCCAGCCTTAGTGGCTGGAAAACCAAGCTGGGCACATGTGTATGAGTGCACAAAATCTTGACAGGATGAAGAAATGGAGGAAAAGGAATTATGGTGTGACCATGTCCCACTGAGGGGTGCTTTCTCTCTTCCTCTCCTTCTTTCTTCCTTGGTGATCTCATGGGCTCTCTAACAATTAAAACAACAACAACAACAAAAAAAAAACAAATAGCCATAATACAAATTATGATGAAAATTATGAAATAGTTAAAAACTGCTTTGGGAACAGGGGAAACGGCTTTACCTAAGTCAGGGAAAGATTTATAGAAACTAGAGAAAGAACTGGAGTTTGTAGAATAAGCAGGTCTTTGTTCAGCAAAGGGAAAGTGCTTCAGACAAGGCAAACTGCATGCATGAACAAAGACCAGGGAGATACACATGCACATACTAGGTCGTTGGGAAAGTCATATTTTTCTTTTTTTTTTTTTTTGGAGAGGTTTTTGCTATAGGGAGCGTGCGCTCGCCAGAGAGAGAGAGACAGAGAGACAGAAAGCGAGAAATCCCCCGGGGGGGGTGGTCATGCCGCAATCCCTTCTCCTCCATTCTCCTCTCCGGATCCTGGGAACACATGCACACGTGCCTGGAAGGAAAGTCATAGTTTTCTATGGAAAAATGTGTCATGACTTTCCCCATAACCCAACAGTATACCCAGAGAGCCTGCTGGAACTATGGTACTGCAGGGTGCAGAGGGGCATGGACGGAGTTGAAGATAAAAAAAATTAGAAGCATCCCGAGTAAAATAGGTCTTGGGACCAGCAGTTGGCGTAATGTCGCTGGACTCCCATGTAGTTGATCACGGTTCAAGTCCTGGACCCAGTGGCTTAAACTCATGCCAGGCGTGTGTGCATGCGTGCCCAAGATCCTGAGAGGAGAATGGAGGAGAAGGGATTGCAGTGTGGCCATCCCCCCAGGGTGTGATTTCTTGCTTTCTGTCTCTCTGTCTCTCTCTGTCTTTCTGGCGAGCACACACGCCCTATAGCAAAAACCTCTCCCAAAAAAGAAAAAAAAAGGTCTTATGAGATATGATGGAGTCTGAATCTGATCTTAGGGGAATGAACTCTTACAAACATTTTAAATCATAATAGTGGTAAAATCTATATGAGAAAAATTTCAGATAAGAAAATTCTACTGTCTGGGACCAGCAGTTGGCGTAATGGCTATGTTGCTGGACTCACATGTAGCCAACTGTGGTTCAAATCCCAGACCTGGTGGCTTAAACTCATGTCAGAGACGTGTGCATGCATGCCCAGGATCCCAAGAAGAGAGTGGAGGAAAAGTGATTGCAGCATGGCCATCCCCCCTGGGGGGTGATTTCTCGTTTTCTGTCTCTGTCTTTCTGGTGAGTGCACATGCCCTATAGCAAAAACCTCTCCCCACACCAAAAAAAAAAAAAAAATCTACTGTCTGGAGTAAAGATTAGAAGTTGAGAGACACAGAAGGCAGGGTGACAAGCCAGAAAAGTGCTGCAATTATCTGGTAACAGATACTGGGTGTCAGGATCCAGGCAATGGGAAAAGAGGAAAGAGAGAGAAGCTGACAAAACTCAAAGATATTCAAGAAGTTTAATAGACAGTATTTAGAAACAGGAAAGCCGGGGCCAGCAGATGGAGTAGTGGTTAAGGCACTGGACTTCCGCCGAGTCAACTGTGGCTCAAGTCCCAAATCTGGTGGCTTCCTTTTTATCTCTCTCTCTCTGATGAGCACAGGTGCCCTACAGCAAATTGAAATAATGATAATAATAATAATAATAATAATAGGGACCAGCAAATGGCATAATGGCTATGTTGCTGGACTCACAAGTAGTCAACTGTAGTTCAAGTCTTGAACCCAGTGGCTTAAACTCATGCCGGGTATGTATGTGTACCCAAAATCCAGAGATGAGAATGGTGGAAAAGGGACTGTGGAATGGCCATCCTCCCTGGGGGGTAATTTCTCACTTCCTATCTCTCTGGCAAGTGCACATGCCCTGTAGCAAAAATCTCTCTAAAAGTAATAATAATAATAAAGAATTTTTTAGGAAAAAAAACAACACAGGAAAACTGAGGTAGGAAGGAAAACTTCTTAAAGAGGTTGGGAAGCTAGACGAATGGTGGCACCAGTGTCCTCAGGTAGAAGCAAAATACTCAACTTCATCACAACAGTCTTCCCAGAGTTCACCCCATAGGGTAATACACTTGTGAGAAAAGATTATAATGAATGTTTCTACTGCTTTCAAACAAACAAAAAATTAAAACAAATAGTACTGTACTGAATTTTAAGCCGCCAAGTCTGAGACTTGAACTGCAGTTGACCTCGTGGGAGTCCAGCAACATAACCGTTATGTCATCTGCTTGGTCCCAGCGCCCAACGTGATTTTGAAGCCACCAGTCCAGGACTCAAACTGCAGTCAACCATATGCGATTCCAGCACCTTAACTAATATGCCACCTGCTGGCGCCCCCTTATCCTAAAAGTTTAATTTTAAAAATTTGGAGCATGAAGATGGTACAGGGGTAAAAACGAAGGCTCTGAAAGGTTGACCCATATGGGAAGGTTTTAGGTTTATGTTAGAACTTCCCTGAGTATACTGCATACATGTACCTCCATGATCTAGGTTCTGGCTAAAGCTCAGAGTGAAATGTTGTATCAAAATCCAGTTCTCTCTCACATTTGGAAGAAAAAAAATTTAGGAGGCCAGATAGTGATGCAATAGTAAAATGTGACACCCCTCAAAGCAGACTGACAGGAGTTCATGTCTAGAGACCTCCCTGAGAATGCAGGTACTTATATGCCCATGATCCAGAGCTGTCAGAGGCTAAAGGTGGACTGTGGTATAAGGACTCTGTTGGTGCTAAATAAATAAACTTGAAAAAAAAATTTAGACTAAAAATATAAGAAATCTTAAAAAGGCCCAGTCACGGTGGCACAACTGGGAGGGCACTGCTATGCAGTGGCTAAGGCCACATGGAGGCCCAGGTTTGGTTGGCAGACCAACCTAAAATAGGTTAGGAGGATTTCAACATGGTGAGACTCTGTCAAAATGCACCACATCCCCTTTCTCTCTTACCTACAAATCTTCTCACTTTAAACAAACAAACAAAAGATGATGGGCTGATCCTGTAACACAGCCAGGTTTAGTGTTATGCAGAAGAAGCTGGATCCCACATGGCCAACTGCTGTTCAAATCCCAACCTTGGAGGCAATATGCCAGGCACGCATGTATGCACAGTCAGGATCCTGACAGGAAGTAAAAAAGGACATGCCCAGGCCTCAATAAAGGGAGTGGCTTCTCTATCCCCTTCTTTCACTCTGTCTCTCCAATGTACACATCCTCTGGCATTAAAGTAAACAACAGAGGCTGATGGGGTGGGGGACAGTTATCAAACAGTATACTTTTCAATACTGTAGTTTATTGATATCAGTTACATCCAATAAAGCTGTTAAAGCTGTTTAAAAAATGGTCCCCCCCCCCTTTATTAGAGAAAGGGTTCAGGGGGTGAGGGAGGAGGGAGTAATACTCTCCACAGAGTCTGGTCATACCTTGATCCCTTTCCTTCAGTCCTCCAGCCCATTAGACCTTGGGCACTCACATGCATGCCTCATATGTTTCAGGATGACCCAGCTGGCGATGAGAACTACAGGTGCCACGTAGGATCTGTTTCTTTTATGTAATACACTATCACTGAGCCAGCCCAGCATTATTTGGCAGGGTATGTGTCACAATCCTCCTATATCAGCCTCCCAACTAGCCAGGTTTGTGGTCAACCAGGTTGGCCTAGGAGCCACACCTAGGCTTCCCACATGGCTTCTAGACTCCTCAGTGGTGATGCTTACCTCTGTACCACTGTTTCTGGGCTTCCCACTGGTTCATCTTGCACTTCAAATGGCTCTTTTACATACATGATTTATAGGATCATACACTGACCATTTAGAAAAATATTGGTTCAATGAATGATGTAGATCTTCCAAATGTTGTTACATTTCAATATACAACATCCCCCCCCAAAGAAAAAATCAAATGCTGGGGCCAGCAGATGACATGGTGATTAAGGTGCTGGATACTACATAGCCAATAGCATGGTTCAAGTCCCAGACCCAGTGGTCTAAAAAACACACTGGGCATGTGTGTACTGTGTACCCAAAATCCCAAGAGGAGAATGGAGGAAAAGGAAATGCAGCATGTCCATCCCTGCTGGGAGATGATTTCTCTCTCTCCTCTCTCTGTCTCTCTCTGGCAAGCACATGTGTCCCACAGCAAATTAAAATAATAATAAAAAATAAAATGAAATAGTTCTTAAAATGAACTGCTATAGGATATGTGCTTACCAGAGAGAAACAGAGATAGGGTAGGGGCAGAAGAAAGCATCCCCAATGGGGCGTGGCCATGCTGCAATTCCTTCTCCATTTCTCCGTTTTGCTGGGATTCCAGGCACACACACACATGTACAGTGTGCTTCTCAAGCTACAAGGGCCAGGATTTTAAACACGGTTGGTTGTGTAAGATGTGGCTCCCTTAACCACTAGGCTACAAGAATGGCCTTGTCAGTCTTTCTTTCTAGTAAGAAGTGTTCTATGAGAAAAGCAGCTGGTTCAGTCAACAATTCAATCATTAAAATGTTCTTCTAAAGAGAGCCATCATACCTCATATGTAGCCAAGGTGCTTTTTTAAAGAATTATTTTATTGATCTTTATTAATTTTATTTATTTATTTATTTAAATTTTACTAGAGAGGGACAGAAAGAGAGAGAAAGAAAGCAAGCCACCAGGTCAGGGACCTGAACCACAGCCTGCCATGTGGGAGTCCAGCGCCCTTAACCACTACACCACCTGCCAGCCCCATGTAGCCAAAGTGTTTTATGCATACTTCCCTCTCATTTCTTTTCTTTCTTCTTCTTCTTCTTTTTTCTTTTTGGAGAGGCTCTTTTTGCTATAGGGCACATGCACTCACCAGAAAGGCAAAGAGAGACAGAGAGACAGAAAGCGAGAAATCACCCCCCAGGGGGGATAGCCATGCCTCAATCCCTTTCCTCCTTTCTCCTCTCAGGACCTTGGGCACACACACACACATGCCTGGCATGAGTTTAAGTCACTAGGTCCAAGACTCAAACCGTGGTTGACTACATGGGAGTCCAGGGACATAGCCATTACACTAACTACTGGACCCCCTTCTCTCTGATTTCAATACTCTGTATATAAAATGTGTTCTCAAAGATGAAGATTTAATTAATAGCTTTCACTACTTTAAAACAAAAATTACTTATTTAATTTATTCATTCATTTTAGTTTGACCAGAGAGAAAGAGAGAGAGAAAGTGAGAAAAGAAGCCACCTGGTCCAGGACTCAAACCATGGTCAGCCATGTGGGAATGTCCAGTGCCTTAACCACCATGCCACCTGCTGGCCCCATATTTACTTTTTTCAAGTACTTTTTAAAGTGAAAGCCAATTATCTTTTTTTTTTTTATTTAAGTTTTTGCCATAGGGGACATATGCTCACCAAAGAGACAGTGGCAGTGAGAGGGAAAGCGCGCATACTGAGTGTGCACGTGAGTGTGCCCAAAAGGAGACTGTGGAGTGGCCATCCACCCTGGGGTGTGATTCTTTTTTTTTTTTTTTTTTTTTGGAGAGGTTTTTGCTATAGGGCCCATGTACTCACCAGAGACAGAGAGACAGAAAGTGAGAAATCACTCCCCAGGGGGGATGGCTACACCACAATCCCTTCTCCTCCATTCTCCTCTTGGGATCTTAGGCACACATACACACATTCCCGGTGTGAGTTTAAGCCACCGGGTCCAGGACTTGAACCGTGGTTGACAATGTGGGAGTCCAGCGACATAGCCATTACACTAACTGCTGGTCCCCTGGGGTGTAATTTCTCACTTTCACTCTATCTCTGGCAAGAGAGCACTACTAACCTATGACAAAAAAAGAAAAAGAACAACTGTTTTGTATTAAGATTTATACAAACTATAAATGTCAACTTGATAATTACTCCCTTAAAAATATAAGCTATAGCCACAGAAAAATCTTACTTTTGTGGGATCTTGTCATCCTATCAGATTTAGCAGATGCATCCTTAACTCGGTTATGATACTCTAAAAGGAATGTTCGTTCATGCTCAAAGAAATCATCTACATCCTACAGAATCAAAAGAAAACACAATTTTTTAAACTTACGTGTTTTAGTTTAATAAGTAAACCAACTAAGTACAAAAAATCATTACTGGTAAATTGTATAGCTATCTACTAACAATTACATTGATTTTACCCACAAGTTAAGACTAATAAGCATGCACTTTATCAAGTAAGAACTCTAAGGTTTTGTAGGTGAAGGCTTAGGGCTCTTATGTTTCACATTCACATGATGTTCTGTGAAACGTGCTTCTACTTGAGCTTGCCTCTATAATTCTGCATCCCCAATAAACACATTACTGACAGTAGGAGTGATCAACTGCTTTTCAGAAAAACGAAAAAATTCTGGTAGAGAGAAGTAAAAATCTGTTTTTCCTAAGGTCATGTAGCTACCTGAGACAACACTAAAACCTCAACTAAGATCTTCTAACTCCAAATCTGGGCACAGGTCTGCTTCTAACAGTTGCAAGACTAAGCATAAGGCCTATGGATAAAGGAAGTCCCATCTCTTGCCCCACCCTGCAGCTGGCTCTGTCCTGCATCGAAGGAGTCCTTGTGTGCATGTGGACATTATTCTATGTCCCTTCCCTCTACCCAGTTGTCCTGTGGCCATCCCTTAACCACTCATGGAATACGTACCAGTGACGCAGTCTACTGTCTGAAGGATGAACTCAGAGAAGACATCTACACAACACTTGGAAGAAGGCTTGGAATTTGGGCAAGGAAAAATAGTTTCTAGATACCTGGACCATGCTCTGATTTGGAGAAGGGACATAGGCTCTATGTAGGCAAACTACCCTGAACTGCTGTCTTTTTATCCCTTGGAGAAGGGATCTTTCTAAGAGAAGGATCCAGGGCAGGGAGCACAGTTTCCCAGACCTAAAGAATCCCCTGTTCAAACTTCTCTTTTACCCCAATTCTATACATTTGAAATCTCAATTTCTCTTTCATAAAGAAGTTAATTCTCAACCAATTCTACTGTTCATCAAATAAAATCTTACCTTTACTCCTGAAACAATGACTCCATCTGCTGATTTAACCATGTTTTTAAAGAAATCTTCAAGTTTCTCTTTTTTATTTTTTCCTCGTACACTCAACTGAAAGAAAGGTAATTTAACTTTTAGCAATCTCTGAAGTGAGAAAGCATCCCCCTCCAGGGGGATGCCACACTGTAATTCCTTCTCCTCCATTCTCAGGTTTTTGGGCATATGTGCACGCGCGCACACACACACACACGCACGCTTGGTGTGATTTTCAAGCCACTGGGTCTGGAACTTGAATCAGTCGGCCATGTGGGAATCCAGCCATCCTAATCACCATATCACCTGCTGGCATTATCATTCTTTTTTGATAACAGATAGCCCTTCTAAAAGTTTGAGGTGGTAACTCATGATTTTACCTCAGATCTCCCTAATGATTAATAAGGATGACCATTGGGAACCAGCAATTAGCGTAATGACTATGTCGCTGGACTCCCACGTAGTCGACTGCGGTTCGCATCCCACACCCGGTGGCTTAAAACTCACGCTGGGCATGTGTGTTTGCGTGCTCAAGGTCTCGAGAGGAGAACGGAGGAGAAGGGATTGCGGCATGACCATCCCCCCTGGGGAGTGATTTCTCGCTTTCGGTCTCTATGTCTCTGTCTGTCTGGCGAGCGCACGTGCCCTATAGCGAAAACCTCTCCTAAAAAAAAAATCAGTAAGTGTACTTTTTCATAATAAACACGCTCAAAGTAGGAGTACTTCTTCAACCTGATAAAGGATATCTATGAAAAATCTGTAGCTAACATCACACTTAACGCTAAAATAATGAATGCTTTTCCCCTATGAATATCTGTTCTTTTTTGGGGGAGAGGTTTTTGCTATAGGGCGTGTGTGCTTGCCAGAAAGACAAAGACAGAAAGTGAGAAATCACCCCCCCCCCAACCCCACCGGGGATGGCCACGCCACAATCCCTTCTCCTCCATTCTCCTCTTGGGATCTTGGGCATGCACGCACACACGCCTGGTGTGAATTTAAGCCACTGGGTCTGGGACTCGAACCGTGGTCGGCTACACGAGAGTTCAGCAACATAGGACTTAAGCAACATAGCCATTACGTTAACTGCTGGTCCCCCCAAAATTACTTTTTAATACTTTTATTTAACTTTATTCATTATTACTATTTTTTAATTTGACCAGAGAGAAACAGAGAAAGAGAGAGAGAGAGAGAGAGAGGGAGGGAGGGAGGGAGAGAGGGAGAGGGAGAGGGAGAGAGAGGGGGAGAGGGAGAGGGAGAGGAAAGGGAAAGTGAGAAAGCAAGCCACCAGGTATGGGACTTGAACCACAGTCGACCATGTGGAACTCCAGTTCTCTTAACCACCACAATGCCTGAAGAACTCTTTAAAGCTGGGACCAGCAGATGGCGTAACGGTTACGTTACTGGACTCTTACATAATGGACTACAGTTTGAGTCCCAGACCCGACAGCTTAAAACTCAAGCCAGACACGTGTGTTTTTTTTTTTTTTTTGAGAGATATTTGCTATGGGGAACATGCGCTCGCCAGACAGAGACAGACAGAGAGACAGAAAGCGAGAAATCACCCTCCAGGGTGATGGTCACGCTGCAATCCCTTCTCCTCCATTCTCCTCTCAGGATCTTGGGCACGCATGCACACATGTCCGGCGTGAGTTTTAAGCCACCAGGTCTGGGACATGAACTGCGGTCGACTACATGGGAGTCCAGCGACATAGCCATTATGCTAACGGCTGGTCCCCCACATAAGAGTTTTTAGGTAGGGAGGGAGGAAGTGATGAAAATTAGGACAGCAACACTAAACAAGGTCAAATAGATAAAAGTCAATGATTTATGCAAAGTAATCTAGAATTCTCTGACCCAAGTACTCCCCTGGAATTCACCATAAGCCTTCAGAAGACTCCAAATTTAATGAATGCTTAAAAAAATTTTTTTAAAGATTCATTTACTTTAGGGACCAGCAGTTAGCATAATGGCTATGTCGTTGGACTCCCACGTAATCGACTGAAGTTCGAGTCCTGGACCTGGTGGCTTAAGCTCACGCCAGGCATGTGTGCATGCGTGCCTAAGATCCCAAGAGGAGAATGGAGGAAAAGGGATTGTGGCATGGCCATCTCCCCTGGGGGGTGATTTCTCACTTCCTGTCTCTCTGTCTCTGTCTTTTTGGTGAGTGCACACGTCCTACAGCAAAAACCTCTCACAAAAAAGGGAAAGACTTATTTAATTTTAATTTGATTTATTATCATTATTATTCAGTTTTGACCAGAGATAGAGAGAAAGGAAGAGTGAGAAAGCAAGCCACCCAATCCAGGACTTGATCTGTGGTCGGCCATGTGGGAGTCCAGCGCCTCAACCACCATACCACCTGCTAGCCCCCCCCCACTTTTTAAAAAGGTTTATTTTAATTTTATTTATTAGAATGTTTTAAATTCGATTACCCTATTTCTTACAAAATTCACAACTGAGGATGAAAAAACCAGTGGTCCATATTATAACATTATTTCCATTATTGCTACAATTAATCTGCTCAAATTCTACCAAAATACTACAATACTACTAAAAAATGTATTACTTTAAACTGCCTTGAAAAGTAAGAACATGTGGCTAGCAGGCGGCATGGTGGTTGAGGCACTGGACTCCCAAATGTCCAACTGTGGTTCAAGTTTCAAACCTGATGGCTTTTTCTCTCTGGTCAAACTGAAGAATGATGATAATAAATAAAATATAATAAATAATAAAAACGAAGTATTCTTGTACCATTTAAAAAAAAGAAGAGCATTGCGAAAAGTCTTTTCTAACTAGTAACTCCCTTTTCCAATGACTCTAAAAAGGAACCTCAATTGTTGCTTCAATCAATTTAATACTCACATCTTGATTATATTCCAAGAAGACATGGAAATTTAAATCTTTTCTCAAAATAGGATGTGCTGCCACACGACACAGGAACACTTCATGCATTGCAACAGTCTTCTTAAATATTGCCAAATATTCACTAGAAACAACACAAAATTTAAGGTAAAAAACTCTATCCACTAGAAAGTCATCTTTAACAAGTATTTTCAGTCAACAATCTGGATTATTACTAATTCATAATGAGAGACAAAGATACAATTCATGTAAACAAAGGTTACAGCTGAACTATTAAAAAAGATTTCATGCTAGTTAATAGCATTTATTACATCTAAATGTTAATATTTTTAAGTTTGATCAGCTTTTCTTATTATGCAAGTTGATGTTAAAGATAACTAACTATAAGAGTTTGTTTTCAGATCCACAGAAAGTATACTATAAATTATTTAATACAACTTAATTATTCAATTTCTATATAATTACTGCTTTTAAATACTTTAGTACAAAGAAATCAAAATCCAAACTTCAGTAAGCATGTTTTCAGTGTTATTATTTCCACCTACTAACCCAGACACACAAGAAACACCCATGGAGAAGTTTTTGCCATCACACTGAAGAAATGAATTTGAAATATTTAGTTATCATCAATGAATCCCACCAACCATATAATAATACATGTCAGTTTGGGTGGAAAAACACTCAAGGTAAACGCCAATATTCTTGCTTCAACTACGTGCAAGAAGGATAAATTTTACATACCAGCAAACCAGCAGGACCAATGTTGGGAGAAGTTTGATCTCTGTGAGGGTAGTCATTCAGTGAAGACAAAAAAGAAGGATGCAGAGGATGGAGGTAGCAGTAGAATAAACCCAAGGTTCTCTGTTAGCCATTCCCTAACCAGACCACAAAAGAATCATGATCAGGGCCACTGGAAAATCACAGATTCTTTATTTATTAATGTGCTCTGCTAATTTCCAGTTTTGAGTCTTAGAAACCTTTAGTAAATATCTGACTACTGTTGTCCCCAGGACGGACAGAATTCTGTCACCTTACACTGTGATGATGACGTACTGTGCTAATTAAAATCTTTCCAGAAGAGATTAGCATTCTGAAGAGAAGCCTATCAGCAGTGTGAACACATGTGTGAAAGCTGAAAATAAATGAAACAGGAGGAGAAAGAGCATGAAGGGGAGAGATGACCAGAAAAGGATAGATGGAAGTGATGACAATGCAAGGAAAATTATTTCTTATTCAAAATACGAGAAACAAAATATGGCAAATTCAAAATTATTTCAAATATTTTCTAAAAAGGGAAGATCCTTTTTTTCCAACAAACGTGCTAAAAATAAAAATTATAACCACTTTCTTCAAGGAGTTAACACTTTTCTAGTATATATCAAACTAATAGTTATTTAATGGAAAAAAAAGTTGCTTTAAAAAAAATATATATATATTTTCTAGCTACTACTTTGCTTTTAATCTTTGCCCTTTGGCCAGAAGCGAAAAGCACAGAAAAGGACAGAGGGAATTATACATAACACTTTTTTTTTTTTTTTTTGAGAGGTTTTCGCTATAGGGCGCATGCACTCGCCAGACAGACAGAGAGAGACATAGAGACAGCAAGCGAGAAATCACCCCCTGGGGGGATGGCCATGCTGCAATCCCTTCTCCTCCATTCTCCTCTTGGGATCTTGGGCATGCACGCACATGCACCTGGTGTGAGTTTTTTTTTTTTTTTTTGAGAGGTTTTCGCTATAGGGCGCATGCACTCGCCAGACAGACAGAGAGAGACATAGAGACAGCAAGCGAGAAATCACCCCCTGGGGGGATGGCCATGCTGCAATCCCTTCTCCTCCATTCTCCTCTTGGGATCTTGGGCATGCACGCACATGCGCCTGGCGTGAGTTTTAAGCGACCGGGTCTGAGACGTGAACCGCGGTCGACTACGTGGGAGTCCAGCGACATAGCCATTACGCTAACTGCTGGTTCCCCCGGGTGTGAGTTTTAAGCCACCATGTATGTGATTCGAACCATGGTCAACTATGTGGGAGTCCAGCAATGTAACCATTATGCCATCTGCTGGACCCCATAACACACTTTTTTTAACGATATATGCAAAGAGTTGCTTGGCATATTTTTCTATGAGAAAACCGTTTAGTATGCACAGGTTGGAAAAATAAGAGTTAGTAGGTAATAGCTAAGGCCATTAAGGGGAAGAAAAGAAAAACAATTTACATTCTGCCTTAAAAATTCAATTCTCTTTTTACTATATTATGCCAGCTTTTGGATTCTGTTCATTTTAAAGTTTATTTAAAACACTAATTTAAACAATTTTACAGTGGAGGAAATTACTCTATAATTTTCCTGTAGGCTCTGATCATGATCGTTAATCCCAGTTGTGCAATTCAAATCTGCATGTTCCAGAAAGGGTCACTATCGTGAAGCAACTAAAATGATGGGATATCAAAGAGCATAAAAAGGCATTAACACAAGCACAATAAACAAAAGCAGCAACAACAAAAAATCACATACGCTTCCAGTTCCTGTTTCATCTTTGTGAATTCTTCCTTTGTCATTGACCCTTCTCCTTCTCCAAGTTTCTGTAGTTTTTCCCTTGAAGCATCAAAATCAGGTCTTGGTGGTGCTGGTGGGATCTATAAAAGGATCAAAACACTAATTTTAAAAGACTTTTCATTTAGTTTTTTTCTTTTTTTAAAAGAGATTTTTGCTATAGGAGTGTGAGCACACCAGAGATACAAAGAGAAACAAAAAGTGAGAAATCATCCCCCAGGGGTGATGAACATCCCACAATCTCTTCTCGATTTTCGTCTCAGGATTTTGGGTACACACACCCGGCGTGAGCTTTAAGGCGCTAGGTTCCAGGACTGAAACCGCAGTTGACTATGTGCAAGTTCAGTGACATAAACATTACAACATCTGCTGGTCCCAACACTTTTCATTTCTTGTAGCATTGTACTAATGCTACCATAGAAGCCCAGAGCTGGGAAAGCTAAAGGTATCCTGAATGAATTGATCACTGGCAATACTCAAACTCAGGTTAAAGAACATGACTAGCTCTAGAAATTAAGATTCTTAAGGTCCTTTACACCAAAGAAGAATACAGCATAGCACTACGTTCTGGTATTAAAACCAGAGTTCTTGGGGCCAGCAAGTGGTATGGTGGTTAAGGGTGCTAGACTCCCACATGGCTGACCATGGTATGAGTCCCGGACCTGGTGGCTTGCTTTGTCATGTTCTCTCTCTCTCACTCTCTTCCTCTCTCGCTCTGTCCCTCTCTGGTCAAATTAAAATAAATAAATAAATAATATTAAATAAAATAATTAAAAACAAAAACAAAACAGAGTTCTCAACCTTCAATCTCTAGACTCATACATGGCAACCTATAATAGTCAAATTCATGTATGCATTAAGCTCCGACTATAGATGGAATGAATAAATGTATAGCAAACACGCATGCTTTTGCAAAAGTAAGTGGTATGCATTTTTAAAAATTAATCAATTCATAGTAGCTTTATGCTGCTGTGTATTTTTTAGATTAAAAAAAATTTTTTTAAGAGAGAGATTTTTACTATAGGGTGCATGTACTATCCAGAGTGACAGAAAGTGAGAAATCACCCCCCCCAGGGGAGATAGCCACATCACAATCCCTTTTCCTCCAGTCTCCTCTCTGCTCTTAGGCACACATACACAAGTACCCAGTGTGAGGTTTAAGATGCCGGGTCCAGAACTCAAACCGTAGCCAACATGGGAGTCAGAGATGTAACCATTACACCATCTGTCTGTCTCCCAATTTTTTTAAAGAGATTTTTGCTGTAGGCTATGTATGTTCACTGGAGAGACAGAGACAGAGAGACAGAAAGCGACAAATCACCCCCCAGGAGTGATAGCAATGTCACAATTCCTCCTCCTCCATTCTTCTCTTGGGATTTTGGACATACACACACATGCCACCCAGTGTGAGTTACAAGCCACCAGGTCCAGGATTCGAACTGCAGTTGGCCATGTGGGAGTCTAGCGGCATTACGCCATCTGCTGGTCCCATATTTTTAAATTTATGATAGAGCACATATGTGCACATGTGAGAGCAAGAACAAGAGAAAGAGAGAGATGAGCACCCTCCATAGGATCTGGCCATACTATGAACGCTTTACTCCAGTATTCTAGCCTGTTGGGTCTTGGGCACCCACATGTGCATACCAGGCGCTGGACTCCTACATGGCCGACTATGGCTCAAGTCCCAGACCGGGTGGCTTGCTTTCTCACTCTCCCCCACCCCCCGTCCCTCTCTGGTCAAATTAAAATAAATAAATAAATAAATAAATAAAGTTAAATAAAATATTTTAAAAAAATAGAACAAGACACACATTAATGATAAACCTCATTCTATCAATTCACAGTTAGGGAGTAAATAAGTACTTACCTTAAGTAAAATATAAGATCTAGAAAAGATATACCATTCAAGGGAAGGATCTAAGAAAAAAAATATCTTAGGGAGAATTACCTCCAACTAAGAATTTTTATGAGGAAAATGATGGAAAGTTAGACAGGGCAAGAAAAGAGCTATACCAAGTACAACAACAGGAAGAGATAGTATGAAGTATAATCCAATACACTCACTGAGAATCTACTACGTGCCATGCATGAGGCACAATGCTGAGACCTGGGTATATAAAGATAAATAAGGCTTAGCCACGGTGGTGCAAGCAGATTTGTTTTGTTTTGTTTTTCTAAAAGTGCCCGGGGTACTTAAGGCTGTCAGGCTGCATACACGTGGCTGAGGAGGGGTTTTGTTCCCAATCCATCCTCAACAGGCCAGGAGCGATGGCACACACGTATGGTCCTAGCTAACGGAAAGGCTGAGGCAGGAACGACTGCAATATGGTGAGACCTTGTCAAAAATAAATACCTCTCCCTCTCACACTCAGGATAAAAAGAGGTGATAATCATGTTTTATAATATAATTTAAAAAAAAAAATTATGTCAGTGGGGCTGGCAGGTGGCATGGTGGTTAAAGGTGCTGGATTCTCCCACATGGCTGATCAAGGTTTGAGTTCTGGACGTGGTGACTTGCTTTCTTGCTTTCCCTTTCTGTCTGTCTGGCCAAATGAAAAAATAGTAATAATAACAATAACAAATGGAATTAAATAAATGAATCTTTAAAAAACAAAATAAAATCACATCAGTTTACTTAAAATGCTAAACAAGGGGTCAGCAAATGGTATAGCAATTACACTGCTGGACTCCCACATGGCCAACCAAAGTTCGAGTCCCAGACCTCGCAGCTTGAAAACTCGCCAAGAACATGTGCATGTGGGCCCCAAATTCTGGAAGAATGGAGGAGAAGGGACTGTAGCATGGCCATCCCTCCAGGAGGAGGTGATTTTTCACCTTTCTTCTCTCTGTCTCTGTTCTCTAGTGAGTGCACAAACCCTAAGGCAAAAACCTCTCAAAACAAAACAAAAAATAAAATAAAATGCTAAACAAGATTCCAATACATAGAGTATCTAAAATTCTCCTTAAAAATGGGATTAAAGGGGGCCAGCAGGTGGTTTGGTGGTTAAGGCACTGGACTCCCACATAGCTGACTGCAGTTCGAGTCACAGACCTGGCAGCTTGCTTTCTCACTTTCTCTTTCTCTCTGTCTCCCTCTGCTCAAATTAAAAAATAAATAATTTTTTTTTTTTTTTTTAAAGGATTAAAGGGGTGGCAGGTAGTGTGGTGGTTAAAGGACTGGACTCCCACATGGCTGACTGCAGTTCAAGTTCTGGACCTGGTGGCTTGCTTTCTCATTTTCCTTCTCTCTTCGGTCAAATTAAAACATAACAATAAATAAAACTAAATAAGTAATATCTCTAAAACAAATGGAATTAAAATGAAACCTCAAAACTTACGATATAACCTGCATAGTCTTCATTTTCAACGAAGGAATCATGAAGCCAAATAAACTCCTCATGCTGTCGGACAACAGAAAACTCGTTCTGCTTAAAATTTGGCAATGAACTCTGCAAAGATAGGAATTCTCAAGTTATACTAAAATGCTTTTAATAGTAACATATGATAATATTTACACATACACACACATAAATATATATAATTAATCATCTATGAAAGACTGATCAATACCTTTGAACTCTATTACAAAAAGTCCTCAGATCCTTGGGAAAATAAGCTTACTCTCTTTTTATACTGTATTGTAACCATTAGTTATCTTATAAATATATATAAAACTCAATTATTCAAACAAAAAAAAATAAATCTACCTCTAAAATGTGCTTAAGAACTGAAATTTAGTAAAAATAGTAACTTGTAGTGTCAGTGTTTCAAAAACACTATGGACATGTGTGCATACATGCCTAAAGTTTCAAAAGGACAGAGAAATAGGAAAAGGGATTATGGTATGATTTGAGGGTACTTCCTCCCTCCCTCCCCCCCTCACCCCGTGTCGAGAGCATGTGCACTCTAGCAATAAAAAGAAAAATTATTATTGGGCCAGCAGGTCACTGGTGTAGTGGTTAAGACACTGGACTCCGACATGGCCAACCATGGTTTGAGTCTTGGATTCAATGGCTTGAAACTCGTGCCGTGCACATATGTGTGAATACCCAAAATTCCAGGAAGAGAATGGAGAAGGGACTGTGGCATCGCTATCTTCCCTGGTAAGTGTGATTTCTCATTTTTCCCTTTCACTGTCTGTCTCTCTTGCTCTCTGGTAAGTGCACGCACCCTATGGCAAAACCCTAAAAAAAAACCCCTGAAATAAATATTATTATTTGTAAGACAGTAATTTGACTAACTGTAGGACTACAACAAAACTGAAAATGAGAATGGTAAAAGATATTAATAAAAAAAATCACAAGAAAATTAAATCTGCATTGTCTTGTCTATGGTTAATTCTTTTTTTAAAGAGAGATTTTTGCTATAGTGCACATGCGTTCACTGGAGAGAAAGAGTCAGAGAGACAGAAAACAAGAAATCACCACCCAGATGGGGATGACCACAATCTCTTTTCCTCCATTCTCCTCACGGGATCTTAGGTATGCATGCACAAGTGCCCAGCATGAGTTCAAGTTGCCAGTTCTAGGATTCAAACTGCAGGTGACTACATGGGAGTCCAGCAATGTAACCATTATGCCATCTTCTGGTCCCTATGATTAATTCTTAAAATGGTAACCTTTACATATTTTCTGGACTAGCTGTGATAGCATATGCTGGAAAATGCTGCTACACAGCAGGCAAAAGTTATATGAGGCCCAGGTTTGATTCTCTGCTTACTCTAAAAGCCAGCAAGGTTGTACACACCTATAGCAGGGGTCTGAAGCAGGGGGATTGTGACATATCAAAACCCTGTCCAATGGTGGCCGGACAGTAGCACAGCTGTAATGCAATGCTTTATAAGGTTGACCCACAAAGGGAGGTTCTGCATTCAAGTCTGGAGACTTTCCTGAATATGCTAGCTGCATGTACGTCCATTATCCAGAGCAGGTTGAAGCTTGGAGTGGATCACTAAAGACCTTGTTGGGGGTACTTGTCTTTCTGTCTCTTCTGTGCATGAAAAAAATAAGTAAAATTAACTTAAGGGGGAAAAATAAAGACCCTGTCGAATAAAAATTCTTTAATTGAAAAATGTATTTTAGAAAGTACAGTTCTAGGGCCAGCCCTGTGGCATACTGGTGAGGAAGCCAAATTTCACATGGCCAATCACAGTTCAAATCCTAGCCCTGGCAGCTTGAAAATCATATCAGGTGCCTGTGTGTGTGCATATCCAAAATCCCAACAAGATGAAGAACTGGAGAAGGAGTCACAATATTGCCATGATCCTTTGAAGGGTGCTTCCTCTTTCTTTTTTCCCGCTGGGAAATGCTCGCCCCTTCTGGCAAAATAAAAAAAAAAAAAAAGAAAAAAGGACATTTCCGGGGCCATATGGTGGTGCAGTGGCAATGCAATACTGGACCCAAATGGAAGGGTGTGGGGTTTTCAACTCAAGACCTCCCTGTACATGTCAGGAGTATGAGCTGTTATCTACAGTTACTAAAGATAGGGGTAGATCGTGGCATTAGGACTATGTTGAGGGTGCTTGTCCCTCCCTCTCATCCTCTTCCTCATGGAAGAAATAAATGTTTTAAGTTTATGTATTTTTAAAATAAATATCTTATATAAATAAAATGTTTTAAGTTTTTTTGTGACCAACATATGGTGTAATAGTTACATTACTGGACTGCCATGTAGTTGACCACAGTTTGAGTCCTGGACCTGGTGGCTTAAAAGTCAAGCCAGGCATATATGCCTGTAGGCCCAAAATTCAATGGGATTTTGGGGCAGCCCTGTGGCATATTTGTTAGGACGAATGGATTGCGGAGAACGGATTACGGCATGGTCACCTCCCTCACAGGGAGAAATTCCTCACTTTCTGTCTATCTTTCCAGTGAGCGCACATTCCCTATAACAAAAAATCTGTTATTAAAAAAAAGGGGAAAAAAATGTCTTAAGTTTTTATTCCGTGAGTGAGATAGAAAGACAGTACCCCGATAGGGTCTTGATGACACAATCTGTCCCCAGCCTCTGCCTGCAACAGATCACAGGCTCACATGCAACCAATATACTCAAGGAGGTTTCCAGATGCAAACTCAGAACATTGCTTGGGGGGGAGGGGAGGGCAGCCTCGCAGAACATCACGTTGTATCACCATCCAGGATGTGCTATCATCCAGGCTTATCAAAAATTTTTTTGCTCAAATAATAATGAATTAAAGGGGCAGTAGGTGACATGGTGGTTAAGGTGCTGGACTCCCACAGTTCAAGTCTTGGATCCAGGACTTGAAAACCACATGGGGCACGTGTACATGCGTGCCCAAAATCTGAGAGGAAAATGGAGGAGAAGGGACTGCAGCATTGCCATCCCCCCCAGTTGTGATTTTTCACTGCCCCCCTAACCCTGTCTCTCTCTGGCAAGCACATACACCCTAAGGCAAAAACCTTTAAAAGAAAAACTGAATGAGTGAATTAAAAACTAAAATAGAGGGACCAGCAGATGGTGTAATGGTTACTTCATTGGACTCCCACATGGTGAACTCTGGTTCAAGACCAAGGCCTGGTGGCTTGAAACTCATGCCGGGCACATGCACATGCATGCCCAAGATCCTGAGAACAGAATGGAGGAGAATGGATTGTGGTGTGGCCACCCACTTTCTCACTTTCTGCTTTTTCGTCTCTCTCCATCTCACCGGGTAGTGCACGCATCCAACAGTAAAAATCTCTCTAAAAACAACAACAAAAACACCTAAACTATAGTTGTTTTACCATTACATTATGTTCGAAACTAAAGTTCCAGTTATATATAATAACTTACATTATTATGTATATAACATTATACAATAAATGGCTAAAATGATACAAAGTACAAAATCAAATTTACCTTTGTGTGAACAGTGAATTTTACTTTATCCCTCTCACTAAGAGCATCAGAAATGTCCACCTGCAGAGCAGCATCACTTTGAAGATCTACATTTATTGCTTTAAGCTAGAAAAACAAAATCAGTAATATCTTTATGAAAAATTCTGTGGGCTGTTAAATATTTTATTTTTCTCCTAGACAATAAGACAATGCAAAACAAAATAATAACAAAAGAATTTTAAAGCTAAAAATGTACTCAAGTTCATTTAATCTACATATATTTTGGGGCAGATGCTTTCAATAATGCTAGTATCTTAACTAATTTTCTTTTTTTTGGGAGAGGTTTTTGCTACAGGGTGCGTGCACTCACCAGAAAGACACAGAGAGATAGAAAGCGAGAAATCCCCCCCCATGGGGGATGGCCACGCTGCAATCCCTTCTCCTCCATTCTCATCTCGGGATCCTGGGCATGCATGCACATGCGCCTAGTGTGAGTTTAAGCCACTGGGTCCGGGACTTGAACCGTGGTCGACTACATGGGAGTCCAACAACAAAGCCATTATGCTAACTGCTGGTCCCATCTTAACTAATTTTTATTCTATACCATTCAACTATACTCTGCCCTGCATGAATCACTAAGCTAATCATGATTCATTTTAGTTTCACCCCAAATGAAAACTATTTTCCAAGAAGATGGTCCAATAAAATTCAAGTGTTCTAAAATTAAGGACTCTGTCTACCTTGAAGTACAAGAAAACTAAAAAGAATATTAAGCAATAATTTTAATTCTAATATTTCTTTTTGTTTGGGAACATATAATGAATATGGGTTTGTATATAATATAGGCAAAGTGGTAAGAAAAACACTAACATATAGTAAACAATAAATAACTCTATAAGCTACAATACATTTGAAGAATTGGCTTCTTATTCAGTGCTTCCATTCATGGTCCGTTAGGAGACTTTCCTACTTAAAATTTTTATTACAACTCTATTTATAATTTTGGAATATCATACATTTTTCTTATTCTTTAAACAATGAATACTATAACAAGTTTGGGTAATTTGGAAATTTAACAACAGTTAAATATACTAAAAGATAAAGTCTTAGTTGGTTACATGATAGAAAATAGTTAAAGTCTAGTTAACAAGTCTGTTTCAAATATTCTACTTGTAAAACCCAGGACTTTAGGAATCTCACCTAGTCATCAGAACTTCAAATTTTAAGGACACTGTAAGTGAAAAAAAAAAAAATGCTGGGGGCCAGCAGGTGGTGATTAAAGGCAATGAATCCTCACATGGCCCACTGTGGTTCGAGTTCTGGACCTGATGGCTTGCTTTCTCTCTTTTCTTTCTCTCTCTGGTCAAATTAAAAAATAATAACAAACGGAATTAATTAAATAAATAATTCCTTTAAAAAATGTTGGATGCAAAACTGTTTATACTCTCTCAATTATGTATTTTAAACACATACATAATAAGACAGGAAATGCATAAAAATGTGAAAAGCAGTAGTGAATGTTCCTTATGTACTCCTTTAGTCTCTCAAATTTCCACAATATGCATGTATTACTTTTTTTTTTTGGAGAGGTTTTCACTACAGGGCGCGTGCGCTCGCCAGACAGAGAGAGACAGAGAGACAGAAAGCGAAAACCACCCCCCAGGGGGATGGTCATGCCACAATCCCTTCTCCTCCATTCTCCTCTCGGGATCTTGGGCACGCATGCACACGTGTCCGGCGTGAGTTTAAACCACCGGGTCCGGGACTCGAACCATGGTCGACTACGTGGGAGTCCAGTGACATAGCCTTTATGCCAACTCTGGTTCCCTATTATTTTTATAAATTGGAAAATAACTTTCTTTAAGCAGAAATGTTAACTTATTTTTTAAACATTCATTTACTTACTTATCAATTTATTTGTTGTATTTTCAAGCTACAGGGTCTAGGACTCGAAACACAGTGGTTCATGTGAGAATCCAGAAGTTAAACCACCATGCCATGTCACTTGCTGGCCCCAGAAATCTTATTAAAGATATATTTTATGGGAAAAGTCATCTGCATTTGAGCTGTGAGCAATCCCTTTCAAGGGCTAAAACAATCTAACAGTTTCTGCTTAGACTTCACCCTCCAGACCCCAAGATCCACCAGACTGGGTCAGAATAATCCTCAATTCCCACTGAATCTGCTGCACAAAGGTAGAAAGACACAACTGCAGAAGAGATTGTAGATCTCCTCCTCCTGCACACGTCTGAACACTCAGGTTTAACTTTAAGAAATTAGGAAAAAACATAATTCTTCAGATGGACAGAAACCACTGCAGAGACACAAGAAATATGAGAAACCAAGAATCCCCCCCCCCAGGGAAAAGAACAACTCCTCATGCACAGATAGTACAATGGAACTTGTGGAAAAGTCAGATAAAGAATTTAGAATATTTGTAGCGACAAAGTTAACAGAGATGCAAGAGAAGAGAGATAATAAACTCCAGAAGATGCAGGAGAAAAGAATCAATGAGTTCCAGGAGGTGCAGAAGTTCTTGCATGAGTTGAAAGAAGAAATACAAAGCACAAAAAAGAATCAAATGGAATTGTTAGAAGTGAAGGCTATAACATAGGAAATCAAAATCTCCTTTGAAAGTATTAAAGGCAGGTTAGATCATACAGAAGATCAAACCTCAGATATAGAAGACAGTACCTCTGTCTGAGAAAAATTCACCAAAAACACTAAGAAAATAACCCAATGAAATGAAAATAATATACGAGAAATATTAGATACCATTAAACACCTAAACATTCTGATCATCGATATCCCAGAGGATGAAGAAACTAATCAGGGCATTGATAATCTAGTCCATGAAATCCTGGAATAAAACTTTGCAAACCTAGAGAGGGCTTCAAATATCCAGACCCAAGAAATACAAAGGACCCACCTAGAATCAACCCAAGATCTTCTCCAAGGCACATCATAACCAGACTGACCAAAACCACAGACAAAGGGACCAGCAGTTAGCGTAATGGCTATGTCGCTGGACTCCCACGTAGTCGACCGCAGTTCGAGTCCCGGACCTGGTGGCTTAAACTCACGCCAGGCGCGTGTGCATGCATGCCCAAGATCCCAGGAGGAGAATGGAGGAGAAGGGATTGCGGCGTGGCCATCCCACCTGGGGGGTGATTTCCTGCTTTCTGTCTCTCTGTCTGTCTGGCGAGCACACGCGCCCTATAGCAAAAATTTTTCCAAAAAAAAAAAAAAACAAACACAGACAAAGACAAGATTCTAAAATTGACAAGAGAAATGTCAAGGTACTTTCAAAGGATACCACATCAGGCTATTAGCGGACCTCTCATTGGAAACAATGCAAGTACGGAAAGAATGAGAAATATATTCAATGTGTTGAGTGAAAAACATTCCAACTAAGAATTCTATAGCTGGCAAGATTATCCTTCATATGGGGAAAAAAAGACAAAAACATTCTCAGATAAACAAAACCTAAAGAATTTACCAACACCAGTCCAGATCTCCAAGAAGTTCTGAAAAGAAGTGCTATACCAAGAAAACTAAAGACCGACACACACAAATAAAAGAGTCCAAAAAACAACCAAGAAAATGGCCAATTTAATGGTAGGGACAAGTCCAGAACTGAATGTTAACTTCCAGAATTTAAATGGAAAGATCAGACCACAACAGAAGAGAGATTAATTACATGAGAATTAACTGGTGAAGTAAAATTTACAACTTTTGACTAAAACATGACTGATTTTCTCCTATGTTTTGTTTTCCAGATTTAAGGTTTTTCTGTCTTCTCTTGAGCTCCTGATAGGTTCATCTACCTACTATTTGAATAGAATCCTAACCCTTACTGGCTTTAATTCTTAAGCAAATTTCTCTTAACGTTTTGTGATTTTAATTTATTAAAGCTAAAATTGCTTTTTTTGAAATTAAAAAATACATAAAAGAACCCCTATTTAATGACCACAGTAAGTTATATAGCCTCGGCCAGTTGCTACTTGATATATAGTATGTTCATTTTACTCAGTCAGATGTGTATTTACAGATATGTATATTATCAGCTGAACTTGCTATTGAACGTATTTAATTAAGATTTTTTCAAACAATTATTTAATTTTATTTATTCGTTTATTTATTTTAATTTGACCACAGAGAGAGGGAAAGTGAGAAAGCAAGCTGCCAGGTCTGGGACCTGAACCGTAGTCAGCCAAGTGGGAGTGTCCAACACCTTAACTATGCCACTTCCTGATCCCCTTAAGATTTTTTTGTACATCAATAAAATGTGGGGGAAAAACAAAAAAAGAGGCATGGAAAGCAACTGTAGATACCAGAGAGAATGTGGGAAGAGGGTGGGAAATGGCAGAAAGTGAGAAGTAGGGAATCAATGGGGGGAAAAATGCAAAATATGTAAGAAATAAGAAAAGAAAAATTATTTGTTGATAATAACATGTATAATATTATTATTGATTAAGCCAATATACAGTGTATTCTGGATGGGAAATCTCATTTTGTATGCTGCGATGACATACAGTGACTGAATGTAAAATAAATACATTTTTAAAAAATTATCAATTTTATGGGTTGGTCCTATAACATAGTGACTAAGTCCTTTGCATAGGAAGCTGGACCCCACATTGCTGACCACAGTCTGAATCTTGGCCCCAACAGCTTGAAAAACACTGTACATGTGCTTGCATTCCCAAAATTTTGATAGATCCTGCATGACCACATCCCATAAGGGTGTGCTTCTCCCAACACCCTTTCTCTAGTGAGCACACACAACCTCTAGCAATTAAAAAAAAAAAAGAAAAAAAAAAAAACTTGCTTCAAATACCTAAGGTTTTTGTTTTAACTCCTGTTTCTAATAACTAAGATGTGTAATAGAAAAGCCAGTCTCTAAAATGAAATCATACCAACATAAAACTTCACTGAAAGTTAACATGCTGCCGTATTTCATGAACCTAGACGTATTTATTTTTCACATATCTGAAGTAGTGATTTTTTTTTTTTAAGGTTTATTCCATAGAGCATGTGCACTTGCTGGAGAGACAGACAGAAACCGAAGTAAAGTGAAAAATCACTCCCTAGGGGGGATGGCCTTGCCACAATCCCTCCTCTTC